CTTTTTATATTCAGCTGTGGTTGATGTGAATACTGCCCCCTTGTGATAGTAACAGGTATGTAAAAAAACAACACAAAGAATGGTAAATCATAGGAAACTTTAATGAACTGTACTGACTGAACTATGCCATGTATCATCTTTTGCATTATTAAAGCTATCGTTATATATTATTTTCATTAGCAAACCATCCCATGACAATGGATCGTGTAGAGAAGAACGTTAAGAAAATATAGTGAGGATTTTTTACAGTATGGTTTTACCTCAATAATTACAGCAGGAATTGAGAAACCGCAATGTGTTATTTGTTGTGAAGTTCTATCAGCCGAATCTATGAAGCCAAACAAACTAAAACCATTTTGATAGCAAGCATCCGAGTTTTGCCGGCAGGGATACCAACTATTTTAGAAGCAACTTGACACTGGTGGCAAGTACCACAAACAAAACGTAGCAACCGTTGAAGCTTTATATTTGGTAGCACTCAGAATTGCCAGAGCTATGAAACCTCACACCATTGCTGAGGATTTACTGTTGCCAGTGGCCAAAGACATTGTTCAAGTTATGATCGGAGACGAATTTGTTACGAAATTGAGCGCAATTTCCTTATCTAACGACGCTGTCCGCAGAAGAATAGATGACATGTCTGCTGATATTCTTGATCAGGTAATCCAAGAAATTAAATCTGCTCCACTTTCAATATTTAGTATCCAGCTCGATGAATTTACAGACGTTGCAAACTGTTCAGTTACTGGTTTACGTGAGGTATATTAATGATGGCGACTTTAAAGTTGAGTTTCTTTTTTGCAAACCTCTTGAAACGACAACTACTGTACGTGATGTATTTGACACAGTTGGTTCATTTCTGAAAGAGCATAAGATCTCTTGGGAAAAGGTTTGTGGTGTTTGCACAGATGGTGCTCCAGCTATGCTAGGATGTAGATCTGGATTTCAACGTTTGGTACTGAATGAGTCACCAAAAGTCATCGGAACTCACTGTATGATTCATTGGCAAATATTAACAACAAAGATGCTGCCACAAGAGTTACAAGAAGTAATGAAAAGTTATGTCAATTTTGTAAAGGCGAGCAGTTTAAACAGTCGACTGTTTTCGCAACTGTGCAACGAGTTGGATGCGCTGAACAATGCTATTTCACACTGAAGTGAGATGGTTGTCAAGAGGAAGTTTTAAAACGTGTTTTTTGATCTTTGTGATGAATTCAGAACGCTTTTAATCAGAAAGCAAGACCGCAGTTTGAAGCACTTTTCAGTGATAAAAGTGAACTGCAGAAAACAGCTTACTTGGTTGACATCTTTGCCATCTTGAATGAGTTAAATTTGTCACTAAATGCAACGTGCCTTGATTTGTCTGAAAAGATCCGATCATTCCAAATGAAACTTCAGCTGTGGCAAAAAAAATTGGATGAAAATAAAATTTACATGTTGCCTACCTTATCTGCTTTCTTTGAGGAACATGACATTGAACCAGACAAAAGGATTACGATGATAATTTCTGTGAAAGAACACTTGTACATGCTTGCAGACGAAATTTCATCGTACTTTCCAAATCTACCTGACACCCCATTTGCACTTGCCAGAAGCCCATTCACAGTCAACATTGAAAATGTTCCTGAGACAGCACAAGAGGAGTTCATTGAACTTATTAATAGCGATGCAGCGAGAACTGATTTCTCTACAATGCCAGTTACAAAATTCTGGATCAAGTGTTTGCAGTCATATTGTGTTCTGTCTGAGACTGTGTTGCGCCTTCTTCTTCCATTTCCAACAACATATCTTTGTGTAATAGGGTTTTCCAGCTTGTTGGTTATCAAGTCTAAATACAGAAGTAGACTTGTTGTGGAAGATGATCTTCGTTGTGCTCTTGCAAAGACTGTCCCGAGAATTTCTGATCTGGTGAGAAAGAAGCAATCTCAACCTTCGCACTGACGTTGGCTTTTTACGCATACTGTCGCAAAATGTAGCAATGTAGTTTACTGTTATATTAAGACTGTTACCATGCTATACCATGCTTCAAGACAAAATTTCATTTATTTGTAATTAGAAATAAATATTTCACAATATATAATTACATATTGTTTTTGTGATTAATCACTATGATTTAATTATGTTCAATTTGTAACAATGAAAATACATCCTGCATATCAGATATTTACATTACGATTCATAACAGCAAAATTACAGTTATGAAGTAGCAACGAAAATAATTTTATGGTTGGGGGTCACCACAACATGAGGAACTGTATTAAGGGTCGCGGCATTAGGAAGGTTGAGAATCACTGGACTAAAGATTTATGTATGTTATTGAACTATTGATTAACCCAGCCACCATGTTCCTTTTTAAATACTTAATTGTAAAATTAGAAAACTAATAAAATATTTAAAAACCCCTTCATTTGTATTCTCTCCCCCTCCAATCAATAGGAAAATATTTTTTGGTAGTAATTCCATAATTACCTTACACCAAATATTGTTTCTGACAGATTTTCCTGTTGGACTGTAATGGTTAAATTAAATGTACTTATTTAATATAATTGCCAAACATATACTTGGCTCTTTAAACTTGGTTAAAATGGGGAAAGAGATGCTTTTGTTTCTTACTGTTTGAATAAAAACAAAACTTAATTAGTTGAATTGTATTGTGCCATTCTGTACAGAATGTCTCTTCATCTTTTCCTTGACCAAAATCACCCACATTGTGGAAAGAAGTACATTGGTACTAATAAGACAAAATTTGAGAATCCCTTTTTTCCTTTCAGAAGGAAAAGCTCGTAAACTCATTAAAAAAGAAAGTGAACCATGTACATAAGTCTCATTCAATCATTCGAGACAGAAAATTACCAGAAAATCCCAGAAGTATAGGTTACATTAGGAAAAGGAAAATATTCTGGAACACAAACCACTTCCCTATTATTGTCCAGGCAACTACATGGACGTGGACATAATAATCAGGAATGGTACATAATAACAATAATATGAAAAGTTGGAAGGGACTTTGGAGATCATCTAGTCCAACCCTCTGCTCAGGCAAGAAACCCTATACCAGGGATAGGCAACCTTGGCTCTTTTATGACTCATGGATTTCAACTCCCAGAATTCCTGAGCCAGCCATGCTGAGGAGAAAGGGAGAGATTTCCATGCTGAGCCATGCTGGATCAGGAATTCTGGGAGTTGAAGTCCACGAGTCATAAAAAAGCAACCTGCCCTATACCATTTCAGACAAATGGCTGTCCAGTCTCCTCTTAAAAACTTCCATTATTGGAGCATTCACAGCTTCTGGAGGCAGGTTGTTCCACCGATTAATTGTTCTGTCAGGAAATTTCTCCTTAGTTCTAGGTTGCTTGTCTCCTTGGTTAGTTTCCATCCATTGCTTCTTGTCCTACCTTCAGGTGCTTTGGAGAATAGCTTGACTCCCTCTTCTTTGTGGCAACCCCTGAGATATTGGAACACTGCTATCATGTCCCCTCTCATCCTTCTCTTCATTAATCTAGACATACCCAATTTCAGCAACCATTCTTTATGTTTTAGCCTCTAGTCCCCTAATCATCTTTGTTGCTCTTCTCTGTACTCTTCCTAGAGCAGTGGTTCTCAACCTTTTTAATGCCGTGAAATCGTGGGCACTCCTTCACTAGAGATTTTAAAGAAGAGGCTAAAATGGTATGGGTTCTCCTGCTTAAGCGGGGGCTGGACTAGAAGACCTCCAAGGTCTCTTCCAGCTCTGTTGTAATATTCTAATATTACAACATTTTAAAATCAAAACTCATTAATTGAATTAAATGGGTTGTTAAATGAATGATTTGACTTATTATTTCCTCTGATGGCTGCCTGAACTGAGACTTTTTCTGCCGCTCTGCAGGCTGTTTCCGGCCGCCAATCAGCTGTTTCAGGTTTCAGAAATTACAGTACTGTAAATTGCCTCTGAAGCAGGCAGCAAGCTTTTTAAAAAAACAAACATTTGTTTGGTAGGCAGCTCAAGCTTCTTCGGGGGTAGGGTGGGGTGGGATGGGAAACTCTCTGATTGCCACTAAAGTAATTAGTTTTAGCTTAAGCGTCTCCAGGCAGGAATGCAGAGGGAGATGGGGGTGGAGTTTACAGAATTGTCGGCTTGCAACAGTAGCTGAGATGGAAGGGACCTTGAAGTCATCTAGTCTAACCCACTGCTTTCACAAGAAAGTACAGTATTTCCGATTAATGCCTATCCAGTCTCTTCTTAAAAGTCTCCAGTGAGGGGACATCCACAACTTTTGGAGGAAATTTAAATTTAAAACCTTTAAAAAAAAAACACTGCCCCTGATCAGCACAAGTCTCTCCAGACAAAATCAAAATGGGGCAGGGGGGATTTTCTTCCAGTAAGGGGTCAGCAGAATCCCTGATGGGTCTGTGCTAGGGAGAGGAGGCAGCAGCAGCTGCATGCTATAAATTTCAGGCAAATGCAAACAATCTTGCAAGTACTGTACTTACAAACACAATAAAAAGCAGAGCAGTTCCCAAAGTGATTACAAACAATACAATATAGTACTGTAGAGTAACAAAAAATAATATTTTAAAATACTTACAGAAGTAATTCTAGCTCTCTGCGGTACTGTAGTCCTCAAGCCCAGCAAGCAGATCTTCCACGCAGCTCAAGGAAAACAAAAGCAACCGGTTGTGCCAGCTGCAAAAATCACTGGATTTTGTTTAGCCATGTGACCAGGCACAAACCCCCCCCCCCACCTTTGACTTCTCAGTCCCGAACTGGCCTAGGCAAGTCACAGAGTTAAAATGGCCACTGCAGCAGCTGAGACTGAATCCAAGTCACATGGCTACAGAGGCCAGTTTTTTAATTGCAATTTTGAATTTCTAATGTAAGTACCCTTTCTGAATAACCTTGTTTTTGAGAAATCTCACTAAATAAACGCTCATATTTGGAGAATTATCTGTACTTCTCGTAGCACTGAATGTTTTAAAGAAAGGAAAGGAATGTAATATTGTTATGTTTTATTGTTATGATTCAGCCCTTACATCAATAATTGCATTCCTTATAGTTGCTTTATACATTTAAAAGAAATAGCTAAAACATATAAATAATGTGTATTTTACATGCCATTTTTAAAAGCTCTATGAGTACAATTTTAGTAAACAAAAGATCAATTAGGGTAATACAAAAAAAAATAGGAATTTTTAAGTACAGTGGTACTTCAGAACACAACTGCTTTGAAACTCATTTGGCACTTGACACAGTATTTTAACAAGAAAATTTTGTCCCAGTACACATTTGTTTGGTACTCATGCAAGCTAGAGGTTATCAATGTCGATTGCCTCATGACTTGCTACCCTTTCCAGCCCATCAAAAAGTCAAACATCAGTCATATGGTAACCCTTGCCCTTTGCACATGCCCTTGAAGTCTTATCTTAGCTTCTGTGGTCATTTTGTGTATTTTTGAGGTTTTTTTCCTCATCAGGACAGGTAAAGTGAAGTTTTTATTTTATTTAATTTAAATATTAACTTTCAGGTTATACAACCCTGTGTTTATACATATTGCCTTAAAATGTGCATGTCCTTGGTTTGGGAACTCATTAAATTTATTTATATTTTTCCTTATGGGAAAAAAATTGTTTGGTACTCGTTTTTTATACTTGTGGCACCTCCTGAAACCAATTAACAATGAATACTGAGGTACCACTATATAAGATACTGACAATTAAAATTTTTAAATACTATTAGACAGATAAATATTATCCTTTTGTACTTAACTGTTTTTAATTTTTTCCTTTGCAAGTCATACTAATCATACAATTTTGTAAATATAGGTTACTGGTTTTAGCAGAATAGTTATGTCACATAGTTTAAAATACTTGGATTTGAATTCAGACCATTAAATTAAACTGAGATAAGTCAACTGCAAGCTCAAACAGATTTTATAAGTAAAACAGTGTTTAAATGGTTTGAAAAATGTGCAAATAATTCATCATAAAAACATTTCCAAGGTAGTTATAATCAAGGTGTCTTTTAAATCAAAATTTATATAAAGCACTGGAATCTTTGATACAAAAAAAATTAAAACTTAAAAGCAGTCTTTGAAACCATGTAATACTATACTGCAACGGAGTTCATTTTTAGTCAAACTTATACTGATATTTGTCTGGGTATATGCTATACTGGCTATAGCACAGATATTATGATGTTTATTCTGCATACTCACCAAAATATTATTTTTATGTAGTGGACATCATTGCAGAGCAAAAAGGAGAAATAAATTAACAGAGTGCACTGAATATTTCTACCTTAATTTGGAAGAGGTTTAGAAAGTATATAAGAGTGCCAGGAGCAGCTGCATTTTTTTGTACATAAAATGAATATTAGATAAGTTTGGCCACCTTTGAAAAGTGAACAAGAATATTACAAATAGTATCAAATAGTACTTTTGGCCAGGTTCTCTACTCAGGAAAAAAAAATACACTGATTTTAATTGAAGCTTTGCCTAAAGGCAGTGCAATAGTAAGCCCTTTGTAAGCCAGTTCACCACCAAGTAACTTTGTGTGCTAGAATAACAGAACATCTTATACTCTAGAGATTTTAGCTTTGCAGATGTACTTAGAATCAACCCCTTCAGTCTTTTCAGTCTTCACTGTTTGAAGCCCAAAAAATCTCTGCAAATGGCTCTTACGATATTAGGAACAACCTGCTCCAGTCCAGTAAATTCTTTTGTGAAGAAAGTATGTGTTTCCTTTGGTTCAGATGCCATATCTTTTAAATCCTCCAGTGGAGCCCAAGCAATGCCAACAGAGAATATGTTGATACCTTTAAAAATCGTTCAGAAAAAAAGGAAGATTGTTGAGAGTTTGCTTAAAGTTCATGTGGAAAAAGATTTCATATGCTTAATATTTATACAAACAGAACAAATGGCATTATCTGAGATAGGGAGCTAATGAATAAAATACTGGATTTAGGACTATTGCTAAGGGATTGTGCTACTTGAATTACAGAGGATAATGAATGGTAGATTCTATCAAGAAGATTGCAAAATTTTGCCGAATAGCAGGAGAAAAAACACTTTTCCTTTATTGTTTCCATCAATACAAATCATGAGATTTTCCAGTTGCTATAATTCAAATGAGCTATCCCCATCATCCTTACTAAATACTTTTATCTTAATTATTGCTATTTTTGTTTCAATTTTTCTAAAGTTCTCTTTAAGGATTCTTTAACTACAAGACTCTTGTTTTCCTTCATTATTTCTAAGATGCTTTACATTTGGGAAGGAGTTACTTTGGAACTTGCACACCTGCACCTTTAAACTACTGTCCAGTTTGACTCTTAAGCCAGTTTAAGAAAATCCTGTTTGGAATAAGATTCTATGCATTTTACAAGATATTCACTGCAAAGTACAGATTACTACTCCTCCCACTTTAAGACAATTCCTCTACTGGCGTGTCCTCCCACCTTTCTGTTCCAGTCTTTCTAGACACAAACAGGAAAACATGTTTGGAAATCACTCTCACAGTGAATAGAGTAAGAATAAGGGTAACATTGTCTATTTGTACCCTCTAGTTTGACTGGCAATGGAGCAACAGGATACACTCACATTTTATCATAAAGTGCTTGAGATGCATTTATATCATGAGGCATTACTCTGGATAAGTGAACTGTGGGAAATCAGGAATACTGTAGAGAAAGTCTGAAATCAAGCTATTTATAAAGCCGCTGTTCTCATATCTACCATGTAATTAAACTATATGAAAGATCCCTGAAGAATTTCATCAACATGATGTAATTAAATATCAGTTTTTCTATATGTGTAGGTGTGTATATATAAATATGGATTATTTAATCTCCCCAATATGACCTATTTGTCATTTTAAAGTATTGTTTTCTCTATTTTAATTCTGATGCACAACCCAGAATCACTGGTGGGCAGGTGGCCCTAGAAATGCAATTTATTAAAAAAAAATCAAGCAAAGTATGTCTCACATCTGAAGTATGGTGTTTTGAATAAATATTTCTTTGACGGAGGCAATGTTTTACCTGCTTTATGAGCAGCAGTTGCAGGCCCTCGGATGTCATCGTAAGACTGGCCATCAGTCAAAATTACCAGAAAATTTTTGTTGGCTCCATCTCTCACAGGTGCAAAGACATTTTTGGTTACATAAGTAATAGCTTCTCCTGTAGCAGTACCACCACTCATATAACGGATTGCTTGAACACCTGAAAGAACCTTTTCCTTTGTTTTGTAGTCTGTAAAGCTGAACTCTGTGCGCTGATTATAAGTGAACTGAACAACTGCAATTTTGGCACCGATATCTGTGATATCAAATGATTTGACAACATTACTAATAAATCCAAGCATGAGGTGGAAATTGTTGTCGCCAATACTGCTAGAACCATCTATGAGGAAAGCTATGTTGACGGAATTATAGCAAGTCTTACTGCATAACATTTGTTCATGCGCACAGAGTTTTTGAACAAGTTGTTTCACATGTTTTGTGGTACCAAACCAAGTGGGTATGTTGTAAGAAAAGAATCCATTATTTTGACAGACTGCCTGTTTTTAAAAGCAAAATAAAAGGCATGAGTTTTATTTAGCACATGTGCAAAACAGATTTTTGTATAATACTAAAACTGTTTTGGTAAACACTACAAAGACTTGCTTGTATGCATGATACTCATCCTGCGTTTAGGAAGCATTTAAGAGCCAGCTGTTCCATAGCCTTTTGGGAATTGATGTGTTGTTTAGTTTCTCCCACCCACCCCCTCCCATTTACTCATTGTTCTTTAGTTTGGTAATATGTAGTTGGCATTATCGTGTTGGCTTATCCTTGTTGATTTATTAAGGATCTGTCTGCAGGGGAGGTAAAAAAAAAATCTTAGCTCATCAAGAATTTAATAGACATGATAAGTATGTCTATGAAGTTCAGTTTGGACTAGCACCTCCAGAACATACTGTTGAAATTCATCAGCTAAATAACTAAATTTTGATGGTACAGATTTAGGCCATTTGTTTTAGAATTCAGATTTTGTAAAGGTAGGGATGGAAGAAGCCCAATTCCAATTTTAATCCCAGTTTTTTTTTTTTAAACCTCCATACTGAAGGAGTGAAAAAATTGACTTTATGCCTTCTAGTGAGATCAAATACATTATTACCCTCGGTAGCAAGCTATAAAGCTAGGAAGGTGATTTGTTGCTGATGTTGCCCATTTACATATTAAGATATTGTACTATTTAATCAGAACTAAAAATGGCTATTCTGACTGTACAGTAATGCAAACATGTAAAGATTTTTCTTCTTACCTTTTCAACAAAATTTAGTTCTTCAATCATCCCCAGTTCTTCAGATGTAGGCTTTGCAACTGACACAATGAATACATTAACACCAAATTCTCTAGCCAATATACCAGCTTCTTCCAAATTATCTGATGGCCAGCCATCTAAGAAAACTACAATGATTTTAGGAATGCCTTTGCGTACTCCTTTTTCAATAGAAAAAAATCTTTGTGCTGTATGTTTCAAAGCTCTTCCTGATAGGGAGGGAGAAAAAAAAGAATGCCTATATACTCTCGATACAATAAAAGGCAGGAAACATCTGTTTAATGTCTAAAAAGAAAGATGTTATTTAAGCAATTACCATGAAAATAAATTGTGGTAATTTCCTTCTATAATGAATAGACCTGATATTTCTATTTTATGGTGGTGCAAGTTACATAAAATTATTTTCATTATTTAGAACATTCCTATGATTTAATAGTCATTTCAGTGCCATTTATTACATATGTCAACAACTCAGATGAGATGAAATCTTCATTCACACATGATAAATTAATTCCTCCAACTAAGGAAAGTCTTCTACCAATAAAACTGAGAGAAATAACCATCCCACCCACCCCATAACTATTGTTCACTCTCAAATTCTATTTAGCTGAGTTGGGGAACAGATTTGGGGTTGGGTATGCAAGAACAAAGAGAAGGGGAAAGACCCATTCATTATATGGAACTCTCAATACATGTAATGTTAGGTAATCCATACTAATCCATACCTCTCTACCCCATTGGGTCATTGTTTCAGAGATAATTCCTTACCTAAACAGAAAAAAATATAACCACAGGAATGCAAAAAAATCAGTGGGAGTGAGAGCCACTTCCTACTTCCTGTCAGCTTCCCTATTTAATTTCTTGTGGGAAACTGGCAGTAAACATTAGCATTCTTCCTTCTCTCTCTCCTTTTGTTCTTCCTTCCTTCCTTCCATCCATCCATCCATTTGCCTTTCGCCCTTAGCTTAATATACTGGAAAAATTCTAAAGAATTACGGAGATATTCATAGATGTATCTGCCTTGAAAGTAACCCATGTTAAACTGTATAGCACAATCAAACATCAAGAGCTGATCACAGGAAATGTTTTATGATGTTTTGTATAGTATCATGATTTATGATAATTTTTATCGCATAAAACATTTTATGAAATATGTCAAATTTCAATTCCACAGGAATCACAGGTTCATGACTTTGAATGCAGTCTGTAAGTTAGCCCATTTATGGTACCTTGATTGGAAAAGGTTTGCCCTATGATACATTGTTTCACCCAGTTAAAGGTTAGCGACAGAAGAATTCTAATAATATAAAACATTTGTTATATTTGACCTGCATTGACAAGAATTACCTGTATTGGAATTGCCTCCTTGGAAAGCTATTTCTTTTATTGCAAATAAAACATCTTTTGAAGCGGTGAAGTTGTTCAGATAAAATTCAGTTTTTGGATAATCACTAGGAAAAGAGCACATGAACAAAGATGTGTGGCATGCAATAATCAGGATGTGAATACAATTAAGAACCCAATTCTTTTTATATAAAAAACAACTTGATTCAACATTTGCTGTTGTTGTTCAGTCGGTCTAGGAATGACTGACTGACTGAGTAGTGATATTTCCTAAAGTATAGGTTCTTTTGACCGATAGAGCCTTAACCTATTCGTCCTTGGATGGATTGTTCTATTTCTTTATTTTCTATAATAGTTTCTCCACTTTCCAGATCAATTTCTCTTTTTATAGAAAACACCTAAAGCTCTCATGTCACAAATGCCAGTGTTGTGTGAGGAAATTTCCTTTCTAAAATGGGTATAAACTCTATTTTTTTAAGTTAGGTAAAATTTTATGGGAGACAAATGTTAAGTGCTAACATGTGAATTACCTGTTTGAGATACTGAGATATCAAGTTTACCTTGCTGACACTTCTTTAACTCAAATGCACATTTTCCAGGGGTGATGCAGCTAACACGCAAGCTTAGGAAGCACATGACAGGTGCAGCAAGTGCATTATAACTACCCCAAAGTATCTGTTCTGCTTCAGATAGTTGCATAGTTCATAATTGTTGACTTACTTCTTCCTAGATTTTTCTGCAAATGCAAGTCTGCTTTCCTGCCCCCTCCCCTATCGTTTTAGATTTATATGGTTACAGGTAGTCATCATTTAGTGACTCAAATCGGGACTGGCCACAGTTGTTAAGTAAAGCAGTCACTATGGGAAATTACAACTGTGCTTATGATTTTACTTCTGTTTTTCTTTGTGTTACAAACTTGTAAAGGTTGTAAAAGTGAGAACTAGTTATGAAGTTACTTTTCCATGACTATTGTTAAGTGCAAACAGTCAATAAACAAGCACCACCTGACTTACAAGGTATCCTTTTTATTTTTAAAGTTAGATTTTTTTAATCTAACTTTAATCTAAGATTGTAGTCCAGGGAGTTGTATGCCACCTAGCCATGGCTAATTAGAGTGGCCAATGAATTCTATAACAAAGTTAATATAGATTTACGTAGATTTACTAAATAGGTTAATTGCAATCATTTTTGTTTGCAAGCCACTTTCTGAGATCAAGATTTAAAGTGTTAAACTGTAAATATTGTAGTCCCCTCATCTTCCATCAGGACTCCTACCCTACCTCCAAATTTATTGATAGCTCTTCAGTTTTTTGAGAGATCCACTAAAACTGCCAACAACCATAGGGAATCCTCAGATGGAGCTTCATCTTCAACAAGGGGGAAATAAACTATTGTCAGTGCTCTCTGAGCTTGGTTGTTTTATTACCAGGGCACTGTTAATATTGTCTAGTTGGGTAATGAAATATTTTCAAGAAAACAATCAAGTTCAGAGAGCATCAAGGACCCCACAGTTCAAGCCCGAGCTGCAATTATTCTCTTCTGTTGGAAACTACCATCAGACCCACCAGGTAGCTCAGAGCAGTGAATCAACTCCATAGGAAAATAAGAACTATACTTTTTGCCAGCAATAACATCTTGCAATTGTGCTTTGCCTCTCTTTCTTCTTATAGTTTAGTAAATGGGGGAGGCACTTGTCTGAAATTTATATTGTCTCCCAGAATTTTTTTTAAAAAAAGATTTCAGCTCCTTTGCCTGAGTAACAGGGTGGGGTTATCTCCCTTACTTTCTATCCCATCTCTCCTATCAATCACATTGTTCCTTCCTCTGTGCACAAAGAATTTCCAGGTCAGAGTAATAGAACAAACTGTAGGTTTTCTGCTTTTTTTTTTCTTTGCAGCAGTATCAAAGATTACAAGACAAAATTCTGTAATGCAGCTATACAAGGAACAAATACCCTTCCTCATCTTCTTTCTGCTACTGTCTAGATTGAGTTTCTCCATCCGTTTCTAGTTGCTCATGCATCTTGTCCTCCCCATGTTGTGTCCTAATCAATTTTGTCTTGAGTTCCATGCCAGCAATTCAGATTTGCTCCTCCTGGGATATACAAGACCCTTCTAAAGATGGCAGATCGTGTGGACAGGATTTCCTTAGAAATTGCAGATGAAATTGGCATACAAATTGTGGAGTATGTATATCTGTTGTGTTTGTCCATAGTGGCTCTGAATCTGGATGGCCCTTCTAATGATTCAGGTACTCCGACTGTTTCCCTTTACATTTAGAGCCCAGAATAGCCTCTGCTTCATAATCCTTGCAGGCCACTTTAGCTGACTGTGTTCAGCAGGTCAGCGGTTCAAATTTCACCGGCTCAAGGTTGACTCAGCCTTCCATCCTTCCGAGGTAGGTAAAATGAGGACCCAGATTGTTGGGGGCAATGTAAATATATATATACATTGCTTACTGGTGTACACCGCTTAGAGAGTGCTTGCACTTAAAGCGGTAGATAAGTCTCATAAATAAATAAATAAATAAATATGTTATCTTAGTTCATAAACTGTTTCCAGCACAAACAATAATGAAAACAGAATGAATCTTTATTGATGCAGGCAATTGTAAAACTCACTGGATTTATTTGCTTAACTATTGGTACGAGGCTAATAAATTTCTGAACTTCTTCAAGAGTTGGGTGGAAGGAAAAAGCTTTGTAGAAAGCTACACCATATCACTTTTAGCAATCTCTCTTACCCCTGTATAGCCTTTGCCAAATCTAGCTATTTAAAAAAAAAATTCAGGGAGCAGCTTGCCTCCACATGCAGGAAGTCCAAGGAGAGCAATACACATAGGTGGAAGCTGCAAGTCATCTGAAAAGGAGACATACTGAAGAAAGAATATGTTGATTTTTTTTGTAGACAAATTCTACAAGAAGCAACACAGTCCAATTGTCTTGTTGATGAGAGACACAGAACTTTAAATACTGTTGTGATATTTGGAGCAATTTCTCAAATTGTCTTTCTAATGCCAGATGATAAGAACATGACTAATGAATTTTAACATATGGTCTACAACAGGGCTGTCAAACTCGCAACATCATGTGACACGACGTATCGCGACTTTTTCCCCATTGCCAGAGCTGGGGTAGATGCAGTTTTGGCATGATGCATCCAGCCCAAGAGCCAGGCCGGCAGTTTGACACCCCTGGTCTACAAGAAGGCAGGCCATTTCCTAAGTGCAAGGACTTGAACAGACCATCTTTGTAAACAAACTAAGAGAGAGAGAGAGGAAATGTACTAAAAATAATAAAAAGTCATGGGTGTTGTAAAGCAGTAAAAGAATCAAGAAAGTGTTAACTGAGCTATACGTAGGGAGGACTAACAGCAGAGAGATGAAGTGAGGAGTAGAGAATATTGTTAAAGAAATTTTCAAGGTTAGAAAACACAATTCTACTATAGGAAATTAAGTTGGAATAAGAAAGAAAAAGAGCTAACATTTAAAAATGTGGAAGAAGAAAGCCTGATACCTTGCCTGTCGTAATTTGTTATAAACATACTGCAATTCCTAACATTGCCAAGAAAAGTGCATGATGTAGTCAATTGAAAAATGTATTTTTCCCTTTTAATCTTTGTGGTTACCTCAGAGCTAAGTTAAGTATTGAAAAGTATTTCATTTATTTGAATAAATTTTTGCCAAACACCTGTTGAGTCTATTTTTCTTATATTCGCCACCACAATACTGCAAATTGACCATAATCATTGGATAGGTGTCAAGCAAAAACACATCTAATTTAAGAAGTGCTATTTTCAATTTAATTCTTGCTCTGCTTTAATCACTTGTTAGTGATTTTCCACTATTAACCGCCTTAAAATATGAAACTTTCCTTGGCTCTCTATAAAAGTTTTTTTTTAAAAAAAAATTGCTTATTTTGGATCCTAGATTCTATTAATTCCCTTGGATGAAACATTAGTGGTCCTAGTGTAGTCAACAAATATAACTTTTGTGTTTAAAAGTTTTATGGGCTAATACGTCAATAGGCAGGCTAAAGTCTTCCAAATGTTTTGGGCATTTTATTCTATATGTATTTTAAAATGTGCTTATTTTCATTTGTTCCTAAAGTAACCAGCATTGTTTTGTTAATAGGTAGTGAGTATAGTAGAATCTATTATTTTGGAAGACAATTATAACCCTAGAAGCTTGCATCACAGGCCAGAAATAGGAATATGAATTAAAATCTCCCACTGATCTAAAATGTATTTTTCAGCTTGTTTGTCAATGGCGAAGAAGACACATACACACTGATGATCTCAGATTCATACTCAAATAAAAATCTTATGCTATTGTAAGAAATATACTAAAACACTTTTAAGCTAAAGAGAACTGCTCTAAAGCATTGAATTCCATTTGAAAACACTGCATCAAATAAGACTTATGTTTTGTTATTTTAACCTAAAATTCATCCAGTACCATATTCTTACACACCCAAGGCTAAAATTTAGGATCAACAGGGCACTGAAGTGGCTACATTTCAACTCCTTGTTATGACGTTCAAGGAACAAGGATTTGATCAAAGCAGGTTTCACAAAGCTGAAGGAATCAGCAGCAAGCTTGAAATGCTAAACAGAAACATTTGACTACAATGTTTTGTTGAATGTCCAACAGTTATGTGCTAGATACCCAGATTAGAGTTTTCTGGACTTTGCCACAACAATAGCAATGTCTATTTTGAGGAATTTGAAGTTATGGAAAATTGAGTTTTTAAGCATTTAAGTCTTCTGGATTAAGGAAAAATGGGAAATATAGGAAACATAGGGAATGTCCAAAGTCAAGAAAAGCTTCTACCATGAATGCTTTGATTTTGATTTCTCCATTGGACATAGATTTAGCCCAAATGGTCAATTACAACTTTAAGTATAATGTTAGAAATCATTGCAATTAAGAAGGAGTAATGTACCAAATAGAACCTATTTCTCATACCTGGCTTGTATTACTCCCACATGTGGGCCTTCAGTTCCGATTCCCAGCGTCATTGCCACTTTCCCAATAAAGTTTTTCTGCAAATTAAATCTACGCTGCCCAATATTGTAGCTTCCATCAATCAGGAAAGCAATGTCAGCTTGACAATCTATGAAACATGCAAAATAGTTTATTAACAAAATGACACAATAATTTTAGAGATTTATTTTACATGGTATATGGTAATAATTTACCTTTGTTTCCAGACTTTTTCAGAACAGGTTTTTTAGGTCGTTTTCCTAAAAAAAGAAAAGAAAAGAAAAGGAAAGGAAAGGAAGAAAGAAAGAAAGAAAGAAAGAAAGAAAGAAAGAAAGAAAGAAAGAAAGAAAGAAAGAAAGAAAGAAAGAAGGAAAGAAAGAAAGAAAGAAAGAGAGAGAAGGATAATTTAATTTCCTATATTTCAATATAGGCACTAATGTGTCATCAAGTAAACTTGAAGATATTCTATGCATCCTTATTTATTGCATATCGGGAAAATATGTATATGTATTGTTTATGATGATTCTCAATCATCCAAGTCATGGATGTCCCAAAGGTGCTTTTGAAAAGGCAACTGGACTTTCTTGGTTATTTTCCTTCTTTGAAAACGTTTTGCTTCTCATCTAAGCAGGTTCTTCAGTTTTAAGAACTGATTCAAGACAGGCCAGTTGCCTTTTCAAAAGCACTTTTGGGACTTTATATGTATTCTATCATCTTCATACTGTTAAATATACTTTACAAAAATGAGAGAATAAATGCAAACTTGCTTGTTTCCTGGAAGCTTTTGGTGGAAAAGGACATATTCTTTATTGATTTTTTTTACCTGCAAATGGCCGTGCTGTTGAAATAGGATGCCCAGCTGCTTCAAGGGCTTCACTTTTAACACCTGTTATCACATTGAAAAATAAAACAAATTTATTACCCTACTCTCAAAAGATGTAAAAGAAGTTGAGTTTGTGAATTAGTTCAATTTTACTTGGGAAAATAAATTACAAGCAAGTTGAAATCTAAAATTGTGCTAAATCTCAAAAAAGTATTTGCTTCGTTCTCCGCATCCCCTTCCTTCATCCTTCAGAGTCTCGTGCTGAAAAACGCTGTTACCAGAATCAAAATAGTAGAAAAGCTGCAGTTAAAATTTATTATTACACATCTTTATGATGCTGTGATATTTTCCATATCTCAGCACCACTTCCCATAAGTACTTTCTTTCTCTTTAAAATAACATAGTACAATCATCAAAATACTCATCATCCTTTGTATTACAGTTAAACTTCTATAAAGGAACAGAGCCTTTTGCACAATATTTTGTAAAAGAGTACTACATCACACAGGGAGACTACAAAGCTACAGAAAGCCAAAGACTTCCCATCACAGAAGCTTATTTTTGACATGGGAAAGGAGAGGAAGATTGGAGCCAGCATGGCATCCTTCCTTTCTTTTGGACATTCTTTAACTAACATTCCACTAGAGTTGAAGGGTCTAGAAAGTGAGAAAGAAAAAAACAATTTATTTTAGCTTCCAATTTCTGCTTTGATCAAATATGAATTGGCTCTAAGCTATTGGGAGCCAAGCACACAACTTTAGGAAAGTTGAGTCCTAAAAAAATAAAAGATACACATACGATTGAACTATATGCTCCAAATTCGAGTTATAGCTGATAGGTCTCTGCAACTAAGACATCTGTGATGCTTTAAGAATGTATTTTATGTAATTTCCATGTCTCAAGATGTCATATAAAGAGATTCAAATTAATCAAGGGACTGGAATAGCAAATTATGTTTGAATCTTTTTTGATAAAAGGGCAATAAGAAAAATATGACAAAACCTATACAGTTATATATATCTGGAATAAAGTTTTTCTCTTCTGAACACAGGTTCATCCCAAGCAGCCAAAAGGAAGAGTTTCTTGTTCTTTTAACACCAAGAATGATTCAGATACAAAATTTATTATCTCAAGATGCTGGGTTAATTTCTAAAACCTTTGACAAAATAAATCATCCACTTACTAGCTACTGAAAATGATGATCTTGATTTAGAGAAGAGTTGGGACTGGATTCCGTTGGCATATATTGCAGAATAGTTCCCACGCCCTGGTAACATCTTCACTCTTACAGACCCACCTGATCTGGTGATCACACCTCTGCAGCAAAATAAGATTTTCAAATGCAAGTACAGCTAAAGGGCACACAACTACTACTCTTTGCAGTACTCTGCATTTGTTCATGCTAAAAGTAACAACTGCCACATCAACATGTCACATGTTACACTGGTATACAACGATAAAAGACATCTAATACGTTTGTTGTGATATTGTTAAAACAGCAAGTACTTGTAGCCTTGGCTTGCTTAGTCACAGACTGTGAAATAAGAGACAGTTGCCTAGGTTCCTAAGCATGCTTAATCATAAAATAGAGAAGGGCAAGTTGTAGTACTTAGTCTGCATGTAGCTCCCCCAGCACTTTTTTTGTAACCTCTAGAGTCTGCTGAGTGTTTACCCCTTCAGTGGGCAAGGCCAACCTTTCTATTTTGAAGGGATTACAAGAACACTCTGAACTCTTGTGGAAGGTCTAAACGTACAACATACCAACTCCAGTGATATCATAATGTGTTACAATTCACAATTATGTGACCCTAATAATTTTAAAAACTATGTCCTTGCACCCATAAAGACTATGTTCACACAACATTTTAAAATTCCATTTTAAAAATATGAATAGTTGTTTAAAGTACACATGTCATACATACAAAAACTGGACAAAGAAATGGACTCACTTGAATAATTTCCACTATCTGAGAAATGAGCAAAAGTCACTGTGAGTTTGATTTCATCTGATCCACTTAAGCTAAAAGTTTCATTCAAAATACACACTGGAAGTAGAACTCTGCAGAGACATTGGCCTAGGGCAGGGCTTTTCAACCTTTTCAGAGATTGTACCGCTTTTAGCATATGGCAATATTCAAATACCACCAGTCACCCAGTAGGTGGGCATAGCTTGCTTGACACCTCACTGGACACAGCTGACTCGAGACAGTTGGGTGGGAACGGAACAAGTCGCACCAGCTAACTCAATGTGGGGACAACTCAGTGCCCCACAAACTCCCCGCCTCCCCAAACTGCTAGCAGCCAAGTGCAGGCGCACACGCGCGCATACCACATTCCAAGTTCGGGGATTTTATCCAAAGAGAAAGGAGAGGGCCTTCTCCCCAAGCCCAGGCACGATTGGTAGTTTGCTAGCTCAGATGTGGATAAAAGTCTCCAAGCTTGGAATGTTATTTGAATGTGTGTGCGCATAGCATTCCAAAGGAAACGTTTTTCTCCCAATCCCAGACATCGTTGGTGTTTCCCTGTCCAGTGCTCCTTCCTGGTAAAGCAGGAGACAGAGGAGGAGGATGCTGCGTGTGGAAGTGCCAAGGAGAAAGTTTGCAGGAAGATGTTTCCTCCAAGTCCAACTTCTGCCTTGACAGATCTCTGGAGAGCAAGAGGAGGTAGCAGGGGAGCAGCAGGCTGGCTCTTCTCAAAAGGGAATTCCCGTTTCCAATTGTACGTGGTAAGGATGCTGGTTTGTTGGAGCAGCCTTCCCTCATGCAGCTCCCCTGCCACCCTCTCCTCCTCTCCAGAGATCTGCAGGGGAGGCAGATCTGGAGGGCAAGGTGCAGCCTCCATATTGGTCACTTCTACCTCTCCAAACCCTCCTCAATTAAACATACATTATATAAATTAAAACACAGCCAAAAAGAAAACATAATTACACCTCTTCACATATTTTCTGGAAAAACTACCTTTATTGATGTTAGAAAGGAAGAGCAAACCTTATTAAGGAACTCTTAGCACGAAGGAAATTGAAGACCTCAAAAGGTCTTGTTCTTTCTAATCTGCCTTCCCTTTGAGCCTTTAGTTCTCATTATTTTATTATTATGTATTTAAGAAGATGATCAAAGGCCTCTGTAGCTCAGGATACTCACCTTAAAATCAGAACCCAGAAAAATTTAGTTAATCCACAATACTGCCCTATGAAGAATGAAGATAATCTTTGGGCCCTGAGAGCATGCAGGTGTCCAGTCAAAATATTAGTGGCACACCTGTCAACAACTGGAAGTGCATAAGTCCATGTACTTCCCTTTCCTGTCCCACAACTTAATCCATACATCCTTTAATTTCCAGACACATCTTTTTCTCACAGCTCCTTAAAAAACCCACAAAATATACTGTAATTAGCAGGAAAAATAAGTCTAGCACTTCTGAATTCTTTCTCCAAGTGGGAAAGAAAAGTTCACAGCTCGCAGGTTGCTAGCAAAGTCATCAAAGAACGTAGTTATTGCTACTAAAAGCAAGAATAAATAACGAATCAATTTTGCAGCTCTCTGTTACTACGTCCTCTTACCTCAGGAATGTAGCACAAGGAGCTAGTTTAAAATCCAGTTGACTAGTTTACAGCCAGATGTTCGGTACAGACCTTGCCAATGTGATTTTAATAGCCCAGGAAGGGACAGGAAAACCCGAGGAAAACTTGGCAATCAATAAACCATGATGGACTATTCTTGTTTTGCCCTATTTTGATTCTCCTCCCCAGCAGCAGCCCATCGATTTTAGAATTACCTCCTTTGGAGCCTTCCTGATCCAAACGGGGCTGGATCCTGCTTCCCCCTCCTCCCTGTAGCTACCTCCTTTGGAGCCTCCCCCTGCCCCCTGAAGCTACCTCCTTCGGAGCCTCCCCCTCCCGCCCTGCAGCTACCTTCTTTGGAGCCTCCCTTCTCCCCCCTGCAGCTACCTCCTTCGGAGCCTCCCCCTCCCCCCTGCAGCTACCTCCTTCGGAGCCTCCCCCTCCCCCCTGCAGCTACCTCCTTCGGAGCCTCCCCCTCCCCCCTGCAGCTACCTCCTTCGGAGCCTCCACTCCCCCCTGCAGCTTCAAAGCCTCCCCCTCCCCCCTGCAGCTACCTCCTTCGGAGCCTCCCCCTCCCCCCTGAAGCTACCTCCTTCGGAGCCTCCCCTCCCCCCTGCAGCTACCTCCTTCAGAGCCTCCCCCTCCCCCCTGCAGCTACCTCCTTTGGAGCCTTCCCCTCCCCCCTGCAGCTACCTCCTTCAGAGCCTTCCTGACATACCATCAGTGGTACACATGCCAGGGGTTGAAAAGCCCTGACCTAGGGAATAAGGAGTGTTAGATGCTTCTCTGCATGAGTTTCTAGTCAAACCTGAGCATAGCTTAGTAGAAGGGAGAAGATCTAACCAGTCATTGTTTTCAGAAGATACTTAGTGTGAATTCTTCAAGGTTGTCTAGACCAGAAAACAAACTCTATTAGATTAGAATTAAATTTTACTGAGATAGACTATATTAGCAGAATCTTGCAAGTGTTATTACTTTTCCTCTCTCCTTTGTATATCCCATAAGTCAGGGAGTCTCTTTCTAATACTATGTCATTTCCAAAAGCTTAAGGAATGCTTCTTCCCTTTTTGTTTTTAATAATACTTTTTATAATATTTGGGTTCTGACTCTTTTCCTCATCTCCATGGCTCTCTGTACATAGCATGTTATTCTGTCCTACAAAAACATAGTATTTCTAATGGTAGACTAACATTATTGCCCTTATATTACTATTTAATATTTATTTGTTATGTATATGTAGGTGTGTGGGTCTGTACATGAGGTATATAGGATGTTTAGGTGTGTGTCATGTATGTGTTCACTTTGAGAGTGGGCAACTAAATTTCATTTTTGATGTATGCCATTGTGCCCACAATAAAAGAAAATGACAATAAAGATTATCTTATCTTATATATCTATAATTTCTCATATTCCTCTTATATCTAGAGATATTTATATCAATCCAATGAGCTTCCCAATGGAGAATCATATCCAAATAATGTAAAAATAGCTTGAGCTTCATGATTGTAAAAGTTGGCTGCCCAGAATCCAATAATTTAATTATTATTTTTATATTTGTACATTCTTTCTTCAAGCCAATTTATCTTTTGAAAAATGTATCCACCTTCCTTTTCTTAACCTCTTAGATCAGAAATTATCTCATGCCTTCAGGTATGAAGTTTTACATGACTTTCACCTAATGAACACATGATGTAATGTAAGATCTGCATCACACTGATCTGAGAGATTAAGAAAACAAAGGTGGACTGAGTTTACAATGCTAAATATGGATCTGATATATCTCTTCTTGCAACACCTTTGAGCAACAGGTCCTGGATGTAGTGATATTGCCATGGGAGGAAATTAAACAAGGTTTTGCAGGCCATATTATGGCAATTTTTTCTATACTATCATGGATGGTGGGGGCAGAGAAATAGAGAAAGTGACAATGAAAGTGTTGAATTAAAAAATTGGGAGTATTCAGAATAGACAAACTGTATGAATTTTAAAGAATATAGACAAAGAAAAGAAGTGGGAAAGAAGAATGAAGAATGGAGTGACAACAAGGATGAGAGAAAGAAACCACAAGCAACAGGGATCAATGTGACAATCAAAAGCTTCAAAAGAATAGTGACTGATGGCAGATCACATGACTTATGCTACAGCCCATAAACATGTAAGCTGCTGAATTGGAGACAAGAATTGAGAAGCCTGTTTGGTTTGAGATCAGGAGAAATAAAGGTGATTGTTGGAAAGAATAAGAGAAGAATTGGACAGTTCAAATGCTTGTGATGTTTTGGATTATGATAAGTGGTAGAAATGTTTGTGGCATAAGACATCCTTTAAGAGGTGAAAAGTGGTAGTGGGCTGTCTCCTTCTGGACTCTGGTGAGAGCAGAGGTTGTAGGGGAGGGTTGTGGGGTTTTATACTGTTATGGGAGTGCATAATTACCTTATTGGTTGCATTATTAAAGCAGGCACTGAGTGAGAGAGTAGTGTGGTTGGGAGAGGTTGGGAGAGACATACCATGTGACTTTCAACTAGAGCAGGGTTCCCCAACCCCCTGTCCATGGACCACTATCGGTTCACAGCATGCTAGAATCCGGGCCATGAAAGCAAGTGAAACCCCATTCGCAGGATGCAGGCAGCACATGAAATGACGCCCCTTCTGGTCCTCAGAAAAACCTATCTCCACAGAATCGATCCCTTGTGCCCAAAAGGCTGGGGGCCACTGAACTAGAGGGTAGATGGAAAGAGTAAACGGAGTTTCTGAAGCTTTTGTGTTTAACAACATTTGCTTAATTCAAACTGTTTATTAGATGTAAGCATAGGTTGAATTTAGAAATCCGTTCACTACTTTATTGCTATAGTGTCTTGGATTCAAAGTTAAGCTACAATCACACATAAAGGATTCTCATTTATTTCCTATCCAGATACCAGTCCAAGATCTATTTTAATTCTTCCTAATTTATTTTTATTTAATTAATTATTTCCATTTTATTTCTTACATGATCTGTTTTAATTCCTTCAATTTAATTAATTTAATTTAATTATTTTTTCCTATTTTAATTCTTCCTGTGCTTTCATTCATTCCTAATTTTCTATCATTCTTACTATTCGTTCATAATTTCTACTGCAGGGCTAATAATAAACCTTACCTGTGAATAGCAGCTCCACAGATACTAGAGTCAGAGGCATACTCAACGTTTCCATAGACATAGAACTGCCATATATGACAATTTGCTGGACAGATGACAACTGCTGGATCATTTCTAAGATCATATCCTCTTGTAAAACATGTAATAACAGTGGGGGCTACAGAGTGGATAAAATACATAAAAAAGTTTCATGAAAATATCAGCACACTATATGAAAAACATCCACATATAATTATATTTTACATTACTATCACTCCAAATGAATCCACTGCATGATGAACGCCTCTTCGCTAAAGGTAATAGACTAATCTACCTTGCTGCTCCAATGTGCTGGTTTTTTTTACTTCCCAATCTAGAGCTCAGATAAAGACTCAGAGAATAAAATTACCTTAATACATCCAATATAAATTTAAACATTATTTGTCCAATAATTCCGTTTAATCTTAACAACAGTAAGTTAAAAAGTATCTGCCTTACAGTGATATGCTAGTCCCGACCAGTCTCTTTTTCTTCTTTTTCATCCTACATGCTATTCCCTTTTATCTATTTTACAGTTTGCAGTACATGCACTGTATCTTACACCTCAAGCAATAACATCAAGCTTTAATAAAAAAAAATGATCCTATCATTCTGTAGAAATAATTTTAAATATCTGGGTGAAATTATAAGAACCAGTGGGGTTTTTCTATAAATTGGACTGTTTATAGGTATTAGCAGTTGTATTCCTTTGGAGAAATATTTAACATGTATGGTCCCAAGCACTATAACTATAATTTCTATCTTGACATCCTTACTGTATGCTTCCAAGATGCTAAACTGCTTGAACAGAAAAGAAAAAAAAATCTTATTCAAAAATGCTATTCAACCTTCTACAGTAGATGTAGCTACAATATTCATCTAGTGGACTTTTGGTCTCATTGTCATAAGAAATTAAAATTATGACCTTTTTAGATTGACCATGAATATTTATTCATCTGCATTTTTAAAGAAATAATTTATTTCATCTTTTCATGACTGTTAAATTTACCTCCCTAAAAATGATCATTACACCAAATTACAATTCATGATTTGTAGAATATTTGAAAGGCAATACAAAATTGGTTCCTATCATCATATAATTGAATTTGGATTTGTCCAGTTCTGAAAAATAAGAGTTGAGTTTGAGATTAATTTGTGTATTTAACCTAACTGCATTAAAATAGACAGCCAGTTTGGTTACCGGTTAAAGGCACCAGACTAGAAACCTGTGAGTTTTAGTCCTACCTTAGGCACAAAACCAGCTGCATGACCTTGGGCCAGTCATTTTCTCAGCCCTAGGAAGTAGGCAATGACAAGCCACTTCTAAAGTCTTGCCAAGAAAACTGTAAGAGTCATCACTGACTTGAAGGGGTGGGCAAGCACATACACAGAGAGAGACAGAGAGACAGACTTCAAATAATTAATCAATTAATTCAGTCTTCAGAAAACATAATGACTTCTTGTCCCAATGGTGCTTTTTCAAGAGGCAACTGGACTTTGTTTTTCTTTGAAAACACTTCTTAGATGAGAAGTGAAACATCTTCATAGAAAAACAAGAAAGTCCACTTGCCTCTTGAAAAAGCACTTTTGGGACAAACATGACCTGGATGACTGAGAATCGCCATAGACCAGTGTTTCTCAACCTTGACAATTTTAAGGCATGTGGACTTCAACTCCCAGAATTCCACAGCCAGCATAGCTAAATGTCTATGGCAGTGTTTCTCAACCTTGACAATTTTAAGGCATGTGGACTTCAACTCCCAGAATTCCACAGCCAGCATAGCTAAATGTCTATGGCAGTGTTTCTCAACCTTGACAATTTTAAGGCATGTGGACTTCAACTCCCAGAATTCCACAGCCAGCATAGCTAAATGTCTATGGCAGTGTTTCTCAACCTTGACAATTTTAAGGCATGTGGACTTCAACATTGCTGGCTGTTTCTCAACCTTGACAATTTTAAGGCATGTGGACTTCAACATTGCTGGCTGTGGAATTCTGGGAGTTGAAGTCCACATGCCTTAAAATTGTCAAGGTTGAGAAACACTGCCATAGACATTTAGCTATGCATAATGACTTCTTTTTCACAAGAATTTTCAGTCTTTATGACAGGCTTCTTGCTAGATATTTTTTTAATTTGTCATCTGTTTGCAGTCTTCTAAAATGCAATGGGTCAGTTAATTCTCAAGTACTCTCCGAAATTCCTTGTCTGGTACATCCTGCACTAGAGAAACAGCCTCTCTAAGGAAGACAGCAGCTTCAAAGGAAACCTGTTCCTTTGTATATGTTGGCAAATATCTATGTTGATGTCTCTGGTTGTAATTTCAGCATTAGTTGCATGAGATATTTTTAATTATTTTAAACGTATGCTGTGTGGCTGATTAAAAAGTATCATGCACTGGTTATGCCTCTATTATTTTGGAGTATAGCTGTTGATTTTCTGTTTTTAATTAAAGATTTTCACTGTAATGGTTACAGTTAGTAATGAAACATTTAAACTGCAGTCCGGTTCCATGCACTTCAGGAATCTGGTATTTGTTAGAAGAGTATGCTCCTCTCCTAGTTGTTAAAAAAAATATTAAAGTTTTGAAATGCAGTAATGATGGAGGGGAGAATAGCATACGACAATTCAAATTGTGACAACCAAGAGGAAATTTAGCACATAAATCTTAATACTTTATCATAATTATACTATATGTTTTTAAAAGACTTAAGGATCTATTTATGTTGAAATAAATTATAATTATTAATCACTATAATTATTAGTGAATGACTGGGAATATGAATTCACTCTTTTGGATATTGAATAAAAAGTTGCAAAATACAATGCTTTTAAAGTTATGTTTTTCCATATAAATGCACCACTATTTTTATTGATAAAGACATCTATTACTATTTTATTTCCAATTATAAAAAGTGGAATGCATATGTCTTCCATAATGAATTTACATGACAATATTAAGACAATGATCAGTCGTTTATATTTTTTTCTGTAAGACATTTGTAAAATATTAGTTTAATTCTGCTAAATGATAATAGATATGTTTTTTGTGATTATATAACATTATATTTAACTCTTTGGAATGCCTGTTCAATTCGAAAATGGATTTGGGAATTTTTTTAATGATCAATCAATACAGTGCAAACTAGCCAGGAACAATATTTTTCATTCCAAACTCTATGATACCTGCTGATGTATCTAAATCTGGCAGAAAATTATATTTAAATATATTTGACGTTCTAGTTTTGCTTTCAGTTTGGTTCTGTGTCCTATCCCATTCCAAGTTGTTATAATGATCTTCTTCTACACATCAAAATCAGTGCGATCTAAACTATTTTATAACTCTGTACCTTATCAGATACTGTATCTCAACTATTTTATTTACAAGCTCTGTAAACAGCCAGTAGTTTTACAAATTATTCCTAGAGAAGTCATAAAGAATAAAAACAGAAAGCAATAATAGTAAAAACCTATCCTCTGATGTAGCCAAAGCCATAATCTTTAGGTTTCAAATTTATCCTAACCCAGCACTTGGAGGAAGAACCAGCTATATTGAAGGTTAAGAGGATAGAAGCCTACTGGATGTGTTCTACAGGACATGGGCTACCAATGGAAAAGGCATATGTCATATGTTACCAAATAGCTATATTTAATGAAAGGGATCTGGAGCATGTCTAGATACTCTCAGGAAAAGACAGTCCCACAATTAACCTGATCCCATGCCATATAGAGATTTAAAGGTTGTAACCAGCACCTTGAATGCCATCTGGGAAAAAATGTGGGAGCCATTACAGTTATAGGAATGACAGAACGTAGGGGTGAATGAAAAGAGAGATCAAACTAGAATCCATATGTAGCCACAAAGTGAACAAACTCCAAAGCTCCTTGAGTGCTGTTGACCTTTATCTAACTCTAACCAGGTGTTGACCATTAGTTGATAAGATTCCTGTGCCTAGACTTTTAGCAATAAATCAGCTTAATTTAACCTTCACATATGGACCTGTCTTTCATGCCTGACAGCAGTTCATACAACAGAGGGCAAACCTAAAGATGCCTAACATGGGTGAATCAGGGGCACTCAACACTATGTGCAACATCACATTCTGGACCAATTGTATATATTTAATCCAATCATCAATTCACAAATCAATAATAGAGGGGATGATATGAATGAATATGAAATCATAAAAGAGGATTATATTGTAATTATTTGCATGTATTTCTATGACATTTTAAAAACCTATTTGTAAATACAAGACACTATAATTGATAAAGCTGGTTTCCTTTACAGTTAACAACCAATTGCTTCATTAATAATACATAAAGCTATATTCTTCCATACAATTCAGAATTGTATGAAAAAACTCAGAATACTTTTCTTCACTTATAAAATCAGACTTTATTTTCCTACAACTTTCATCTTGTAGGGTAAAGGGAAAAAACTTCTGATTTTTTAAGCACAAAATAAAATATTACAGTTTCAACTTTTTTACTTTTACATACTTAATACATGCTAGCTATTTCTATAACTAACTTATCAGCAAAACTCAAAGCCAAATTTTCATTTTTTCCCCATCTCAAACACAAAATCCAGAAATGGTTTCCACGTAGAAACCAAGTTGGATGTATTCTTTTTTTTATTAGAGTAGTTAATTTAACCATCTCTGATAGTTCCATCAGTTTTTCCAGCCATTTATCTACTGTGAGAATTAGAATATCTTTCCATTTTTGTCCATAAAGCATTCTTGCTGCCGTCAACATATATAACAGGAAGGTTCCAGATTTTTTTCAAGTTCCTTGTCCATTAAGCCTAAAAGAAAAGTCTATTTTCATTTTCATTTGTATTTTATTCTTTGATAAATTTAATAAAATTTTTAAATTATTAAAAACCCAGCCATCTCTAGCACCAAAACAAACCCCTTTGCAAAGACCTTCTCAGCCTGAATCAGGATAACAGTAAAAAAAACTAAGCTCATCAGCTCTACACTGGGAAAAAAGAAATAACAAAAGGAAGAAACAGCAATTTGAAAAACAACACAAAGAGAGATAAGATTCAAACATGGACCCCAAAATTGCAACTCATAACAAGCATGCCAAATGTCTATCTGTATTATGAAAAAGAGACTGAATGAAATGCTTAATAAGCTAATATAATCCTAATAATGGAAATAATAGGTTGATACATGTGTAACGTATTATGCTTCATTTTTCTGTACCACTTTTTGAAGTTTAACTTAATTTCTATAATAATACATCCATCAACTTTTGTGCTTTAATTTCACAAATATTCTAGCTGGAAAAATAACTTTTCAAAATAAATTAGCATAAAGTTCTGTTCTACTTTAACTAGTTATGAAAGGAGCAGGTAGCAGGTAATATTCAGAATTCCAAAGTTGCCTTTGAAGTATTATGTATCTTTTGATTTCAAATTTTAGAATATAGGAAATGTGGCTATTTTTTTCTCCATTAATGCTGATTTTTAAAAACTGATAATAAAAAACCTGCAATTGTACAATGTTCTCATATAATGTTAATCTAACTTTATTTCTATAAAATTGCAAAAATGACTTTCTTTAATTGCTGTATCTTGGTTAAAGCAATAATAGAATCCCTTATTTGATATTTTATAATGCATTGGCGAGGGGAGGAGAAATAATCCTGCATTTCCTTTTGTACAGTAATTTAACGCTTAAAAATGGTTTCTTTACGTTGAAGAAAAAGGAAACAATATCCTGGCGCTAGGAGGATTGATTAAATAGCAAACCACCTTAAGCTGCAGAAAGAAACACTGAACACGGAGTCGAAAGAGATTCTCGGACTCTTAACAAATGGCAAAGGACATTTTCTGAAGACGGGACATAAAGGAACTTTGCCATTCTGACGACGGAGAAGGAAAACTGTAACCGATGAAGATCTTTCTGAACTCACCGGAACGTTCAGCTCCCTTCGCCACCCGGGCCGCCAAGAAAACGCCTGCAATCAAAGACGGGGAAAGGGCTTACACGAAGCACTCGGAAACAGGCAGGCTGCACCTCCAAGCACGCTGCTCGGAAAACAGGGGAGCTTGCCGTCGACCTCCCTCCCTCGGGTATTTCACCGCGCGTTGAAGGTGCGCGTTTGTTTGCTGCTCCCCAGTCGTCGCTGTAGGGGACAGAGAGCGGGGTACTCACCTAAGAAGAGAAGGACGGGCGCCATGGAAGTACCTAGAAGAGAGAAAGGGCGCCGTCAGGGCACGGTCAACCTCCGGGGGTAAACTTGGGGAGGCATTCGCCCGCCCTCCCCAGAGTGGAAAGAGACGCGGAGGGGGACACAATACCTTTGAGCTGAGGGCTAGGATTTCTTCTGGCTCCCGGTCGGCAGGGCTCACACTCCCCAGAAGAGAATTGGGAAGAGGCCCACCCTGCTGCAGAACCGTGAGGGGAAATATGGTCCCGTTCAAACAAGCACCAGGGAGAGAGGGTGCGAAGGCGCGGCGAAGAGGAGAGAAGAGAGGCGGTCGCAGGTGGTAGCTGGGTGGAAGCCGCGCGGCTATTCGCCTGTAACCTGTACTACGCGCGCTTTGCTTTTAAATGTCGGCCCGGGCGCATGAGCAACGCTGGGCAGGCTCTGGTCCGCCTGGGAGGGCTGAGAAGGCGGCTGTCCCAGAAGGGAGGCAGGGCGCCAAGGAAACACCAGGGTGCGCCGGACTCGGGCCTTTTGGCAGCTTGCAGCCGCTGTTTCTGGGGAGAAGGCAGCCGCGCGGGCAGTTGCAACAGGTGCATCGCAGCTCCCGTGCTCTTAATCGCCTTAGCTCGTTGCCCGGGGGGCTAGCCTACCCTACAAAGCCCGCATTTCTCTTTCCCGCCCCCCCCTTCCGTCCCATTAAATCAGGGTGAGAGATGAGCTGCTCGTGGGCTGCGCGTTTATTTGCCGCGCCCTTGAGAGCGATGGAGGCATAAACGATGAAGGTCGCCCTCCATCTCGCCCCTCCGTAAATTCTCCGTGAACTGGCGACGCGCTAAATGGAGCTAGAGAATTGGTCCGTCTTAATTGTAGACTTGTAGTCCCTATAGCTGACCCAACCTCTGCTACATTTCAGAAGTTTTGTTGTATGTCGTTTTGATTATCATAGCCAAAGCCTGAAGTTAGCATCATCGACCTATCTAGGCTCATAGGACAGAGCTGCAAAGAGCAGGACAATGTAGTATCTGGACTACATTGGTTCTTGTAACAGGACACTTTAAGTACCAAAGTCTCAACTATTTTTGTTCTGAGGTCATTCAGAATATAGCATATGTCTTCTCATATTTGCATTCTTCTGATGGCCACCCTTGATTTTAACTTCCTTCATGTTTCCTTCTCTCTAATCATCTTTTTCCCTCTTTCCCTCCTCAAAATTTCTCTATCCTAATACTTTAAATATAGTAAATGCAATAAAGAAACTGCTTTATTTTATTTATTTTATTTTATTTTATTATTATTTTATTTTTTCCAAATGTTACTATTTTTATAAGTCAAGGCAGTGAACATACCTAATGGTCCTTTCTCCTCCTATTCCCCCCCCCACACACACAACTTCATTATTTTTATCAGATGAGAAGCTTGAAAAGTGTCACTGGCCCTGATGCCTTACTGGACATGATTGAGTGAAAACATGCCACAGGAATTTTTTTCTTCTACACAGTTGCCACTGAGAAGTACAATTTCAGGCTTTTTGTTTGCCTTCATAATACTCCAGGTCAAGATTCTATTATGAGACAATATTTTTGACTCATATTTTAAGATTGATGTGGTTGCTTGTGATCCTATTTATGGTCTGTGGTGTGAATTTTCAAGATACTTTATTGGTGATGCATTCTGAGTTTGGACTTTCTCCCTTTAAAAATATGTTTTGTATATGAAATTTGAGAGTGGATTCTAGTCCTGGAATTTGCATTGCTATTATATTACCTGATATATAGTTTTTTTTAAAAAAACAACAACAATTGAACACATTTTAATTGCAGTAACCTTGTATTTATTTGCACTGGCCTCATTTTGAGTCCTTTTGAGAGGAATAGTGTTATAAATCAAACAATTTAACTGTGATGATTTGAAGACTCAAGTCAGGCAAATAAAAACTGAGGAGTAGAACTCCCTTTTAAACAGTCTTAAACAGAAGGAAAATTTTGGATATAACCAGTTTTGTTACCACAGCTTACAGAATACTGCAGAATATAACCTTGCTGATTTTTAACATGTAGTATTTGAAGAAGTTATTTCTACTACTTTGCTTTGCCATCTGGGAAACATTTTGGCTCTGCTTTAATAATTACTGCTGATATTTTGAAACAAGTTTTTTTTATAATATTTCCTTGACAAATATTCTGACTTATATGTGTTGATCAAATGTCTTCATGCTTTCAATAATTTAGTTTAATTCTTAAGTTATTTTTTCAATCTAAATGGTAAATGAATACAAACATTTTTTGTGGTATTTAATTAAGACTCCACAAATAATTTAGTTTGTCTTTGGATAATCTTATTGTTTTGCTTTTTGTTAATGGCCAACAAAGCTAAGGTTAGCAGAAAAAATGAATTCTGAATCTTATTGTGATAATCACTATAAATGCTTTAATCTTCAATTTTACTATATCATTGTAGTATAGGAACAAAACCTAAACCATTTTAATACTTTACAACAAAATTCATCAATAATGACATAGAACAGAAGGCATACCAGTACAATGGTGGAATTTTTGCTCACAATGAGTTAGGCAATATGCCTGTTTCCAATGATCTTTATAACAAACCCAATACCTAATAAGTAAAATCTGTTACATCTTATCAAAAATTACTTTAAAAGGGTAAATGAGCAGGATCATGCAAGTTAATTAAATTATACACTCACATTTTTCTTTTCCAAAAAAAATTTTTTTTTGAAAGCTTTCTTTCTTTCTTTCTTTCTATTGTCCACATCTGGTTTGGTTTTCTTTTTTTAGAAAGAACCTGGCAATCTATAGCATTCTATCTCAATATAAAATAAAACAAAATAAGTAACAACTATATATTTTCATACTGATGTGAGATTATATAGCTGTAATCAGATTATTTCCTTCTTCTTTGCACATCATGTTTAATTGGGGTATAGGGTTTCCTGCCTGAGCAGGGGGTTGGACTAGATGACCTCCAAGGTCCCTTCCAACTTTACTATTATTATTATTATTAATTATAATGCCATGAGATTTATTCTTTGTTTTTGTCTCCTAAAGTTAGTGAAAATACTGTATTTGAAATCAAATGCTCCTTATTGAAAGGGATAAATTGATTCCAGTTATTAATTTATTGAAGAGATCACAAGTGAATTATTTGTCCCATTTCCAAATATATTTTAACAAGAATAAAAAGGTGATTCAAAAAAAAACCACCACGCAAGACATAAATATTTGCAAAAGCATGATTAATTTGATACATCGTAACATAAACTAATCTTTCCTGGGTTCATTTTCCAGCAGCTGAAACTTTCATACTAAATCTACAGCGAGCACCAGTTTGATTTTTCCATTATGTATTTTTGATTAGGCACCAGCTGAATTTGCATACATTCCTTCTACTCTAAATGATCAGATATTTAAGTAGCAGTTATAAAGATTTTACATTACAATGAGAATTACTAATTAGATTAACTCCTTATGTAGATAAATATGGCATAGATTTGTTTTAGGAAACAATACATCTGGACTAATACTTATATTTGCAATTGCATGGATGACATTTTGCACCTATAATTTCAACAAGCATCTGGGAAGCACTTATTTTACAACTGACAAAGCAACTATAATGTTAGGAAAATGGTCTGTAGTTTGTACAACTTTGCAAATAGTTCCTTGTTAGAAAATGATTCGATTCAATGCACTTACACTATTTTTACAATTGTTCAGCTAATTAATTTAATCTTTATGTTTAAGTATTTATGTGCAACTTTTGAATAGCCATTTGTTTCTCTAATTTTAACTTCAGGAGAAATCAAATGTAGTGTTGTCCATTATATTTTTAGAATTTATTTAATGTGGACATTTTAATAGTGAAGAGCTATGTTTTAAGGTGATAGTTTAATATACAGTGTAAAGTGCATTAGTGTGTGTATTAGTTTATTGAAGGATATAATCTATGTAATATTTGTATGTGCATGCATAATGATTAAAAACCATTCATTAAAACACTGGAGCATTCTACACAACAAAAGAGAATGTCTTCCAATCATCCATGAAAAGTTGTCCAGAACTGATCTGACTTTATAATATTAACTTGTAAATAATTTAGCAACTGAGGCAAGACTGAATGAGCTGTAAATCAAATAAAATTTGTTAATCATTTCCTTTTCACATTTTTTGGTGTATGTATCTTTGTTAAATGAAGATAACACATTAGTTCTTGTGAAGAAAATTTTTATTTCACAATAAAGCTATTAATCTTTAAGATACTACACAAGTCTCTTATTCTGGACTGAATTGAAAAAAAAAAACCCTTTACCATTATATATTCAAGCAAAAGACTTTTTTGGGCTTTTTTCAAAGCAGCACAAATCTATTTCACTTTTGGTTTGAGTATCTTATTAAGTAGCATGACAATTAAGAAATGTAATAATTATGTGGGTATGTAGCTGGTTCGGGCATTGTATTAAAATAATGCTCAGCAACAGTTCTGTATAAACCAGAATAGGATTTTGAGTGAAGTCCCACAAGATTCATTCCTGGCTTCTATAGTTAATATTTTATATTAAAATATTCTATATTTTAATGCTTGATTTAGATGAAGAGGCAGAAACAGTATCTTTCAAACTTATAGTTGGTGCAAAATCTGTCTAGATAGATAATATCTTTTAAGACTGAATTAGCCTCAGAAACAATCTTGATCGCTTAAGGGAATGAATTCAAAAATAACAAATACAGTATAAAAGAACATTTCTTTGCAGTAAGGATGCAAATGACAGTGCACTACTCACTCCTACCACTAAGCTGAGTATGCTCTTCCTTTAATTTTACAGATAGGTCTTGTTTATTCCAGCTAATGAAAAAAGAGGAAAGGATGAGGAGGTATGAATGGAAAAAGTTGTTACCTAATACACAGATTTTATTTAAAATAAAAAAATCAGTTTTTGAATTGGCAGAAGAAAGAAGAGTGATATTATGGTTGAAGTATGAAGAGTAAAAACTGCCAAACGGAAGGGATATTTAAAAACTCTGCATATTTCTGAATTTTAAAATATTCTAAGGCTTTGCTGCAAGACAAATCTGCACGAAAATGAATATAAGTGGCTGGAGTGGCTCTTTATTTGGCATAAGGAATTCAATTATCACAGTTTCCACACCTGAATAAATAGATGGATTAAGATGAAACGTTTTCTTTAAAAAAAACATTTATTTTTAAAAGAAACAGATACATTTTTGAATGTAAACATAGTATTGAATAAGTTTAAGAAGGACTTCTCTTTCTCTCTGGAAAAGTAGGAAGACAATAATTAAATATGATTATGGGTGTTCCTGTTAGATTTAGATGATGAACCATTCCCAGCTTGAAGAAAGTCAAATTTCTCTCAATATTTATTTCAGGATGTGTCAGGATTTCATTTCTTAGGCCAAAGCTGGAGTGACATGAAGAGAAGATTCAGTATACTTTAATTTGTGCAGAAATGCTTCATGTTTAGAAGATATATCATACGTGTACATCCTATTCCAGTGATGGCGAACCTTTTAGAGACGGAGTGCCCAAACTGCAACCCAAAACCCACTTATGCATCGTCGGGTGCCGGGTAGGTGTTGCCCATTGGTTAGATGTGGCCCATTGGGTGGGTGTGGCCCACTGGGTGGGCGTGGCTGTGATAATAACGGCAGATTGAGTGGGACTAAAAAGTTCAATCAATTCCAACTTTGAGAGAGCTTTTTTTCCCGCACAAGAAGTTGAAATTGACTGATTGACTGAACTTTTTTTTTGCACGGTGGCAGAGGCCTAAAGTGAAAAGGTTTTATAAAACCCAGCTGAAGGTCTAGGACTGGGGCGACGGCACCCGTGCCCACAGAGAGGGCTCTGAGTGCCGCCTCTGGCACCAGTGCCATAGGTTCGCCACCATTGTCCTATTCTAACTTGAACAAAGGCTGTGAAATCTCTCTTAATGCTAACACCTTTTTTGTCTTTACAAAATACCCAATAAATAATTGACTTTTTAAATTTATTCTTTATTTTTAATTTGTTAGACTTGGGAACTGATTTTTTTGGAGAAAGTAAAGAAGTGCTTAAGGCTGTTATAATAGTAATAATAATACTTTTACAATGCAGAGTCAGTTTATAAAATGCAAATTAAAAATCTGCAACAGTATATTTATCAAATGTATTATGCTTAAAACTGAAATGCATGCCTTTAAAAAATGTTTTGCCTTGTAATGCAGGATGGGATCATGTCCACTGACTTCATCCTCACATGTAAAAATAGCATTTAAAACTTCATATGAGGATGGGAATCTGGTTTACAGCAAAGTAAAAGGAATGAGATTTCAGTATTATAAAAAATGTAGCCCAAAATAACACAAAACACACTTTTGGCTATTTCCTCATAGTGTTACTTAACAATGCCAGTTCGTTCCTGCAAAAATAAAATAATTGATACATTTAAAATTCCAGAGAGATTATGTTATGGCTATGTTAGAGCTATAGCCTGGTAACATTTTAAAGGCTGAAGAAATTATTGTGTCAAACTTTATTTTAGGTCAAGGCTCACTTGTCAAATACACAACATTTTATCCTTATTTGGTATATTTGTCTCTGTTAGAAATGGCAGTGCTATTACAAATTAAATAATAAAAATTTGCAGCACAAAGGAAATCCATTATTTTACTGTGTAGAGCCTTAAAGAAAACAAAATTGCAGTGGGGTGACTATGAGTTACTCCCAACTGATGATGAATTGTCAGAACAAAATGACAAATTAAAAAAGGATTTTCTGCGTGAGCCAGAAAAAGTATTTTTGGTGGTCTGACAGTGCTAAAACTATATATGAATTAAGTTCAACACCATTGCCTTCTAATGGCATAATATAATCTGAATATTATTAGACTGAAGTATTTTGCAGCTTGTTGGACATCACACTAGATTTTGAACAACAATTAGAATAGTTTGAATAGCAAAGAATGTATTTTAAAACAACACAATTTAGACAAGAGGGAAAAAACACTACTGTGCTGATTTCTTTAATAATGAGAAATAATCAAACATTGGAGACTAACTTTATGACTATAAGACTTTTTGTGGGAAGCCCTGAAAATACTGGTCTTTGATTGAGCTAGTAAGACCACAAAACAGATTCTTGACTCAGATAATATCAGTTTTGGCCTATGATGGTTTAAACTATGGAAGGTTCCCAATAGCTTCACTCAATTATTGCCAATTTCTGATGAGTTCTAAACATCACAGCATCTATGGGGCTAGATGTTCTTTCCTCAGTTGTTACTGAAGGCAGATATCAAGATCCCGAAATTGGGATATTTTTCCCCTGTGGTTCTCAGGAAATTGAGGATGTAGACCAGGGGTCTTCAAACTTGGCCCTTTTATGACTTGTGGACTTCAACTCCCAGAATTCCTCAGCCAGACACACTGGCTGAGCAATTCTGGGAGTTGGTCCACAAGTCATAAAAGGGCCAAGTTTGAAGACTCCTGATGTAGACTGCGTCTTATTATAGGAATCTGCATACCACCTAATTTCTACTCTCCTTAAGGCTCTACCAGTGTGAATCCATTCTCATTTCTTTTGACAGATTTCTGAACCAATATTAGCCAATCAGTTCAAAATCGTACTTATGAAAATTTGCTTGCAATTGATATTTGGCATACCTAATCTTCAACACCTTCCAGAACATCAGTTGTCCCATTTTGCTCTCTTAGTTACAATGAAAGTTAAATTTATTCATTTTTAAATCATGTATGCAACTTGTAACCTACTCTTAATGTTTAGGAACAATATCTTATTTTACATGGTTTACAATAGCTGATAATAATTTGATTTTATTGATTTGATTTAATTGTGGTCAAATGATATTTTTAAGAAGCCTATGTGGCCCTCACAGTTCTAATTCAATTATATCTTGTATGTTTTATTTGGGTTGTTTTGTGTTTGTCTCGTGTCTTTACATTCCTATTTCTGCCATTGATTAATCATTGGCTATAATAAACAATGAACCCAAACAATAAAAACTTTATTTAGGAAGACTGATATCGCTTTTTTAAAAAAGCCTTTCTGAACAGTTCCTCCTATAAACAGTTACCCGAGAATTATTTTCTTGTTATTTCTTGGGTCACAGGAGGTAGACCTAAATTTGTAAAATTTTATGGAGCCAACCTGAAACAGTGGAGGAAATGCCACAGCAGGTTATAGAGTATGGGATAACAATAAAGTTACTCTTCTCCTTTCTCAACCCAGGATGTTCTGATCAAACTCTACAGAGATAACGATTTCATGGGTAGAAAAGAAGCTGGACCCAACCCAATGATTTTTTTTCCAGGAATGTAATCAGAGCTTCTCAACAATTTATATACATTATTCATAGCCAATCTGATTCTGTTTTAAATAATTCTTTAGAAGGCTTTTTTTTAAATATTTGAAACAAGACATAATATTTTTATAGCATTAGAATTGGAAATTTTGCAATAATGTTTGTCTCTGGAAGTAACTGGAAGTAACCTAAGGGAAGAGGAGAATTGGAGGAGCTTACTCTTGATACTAAAACAAAGCAGCAATAGACGTAGGAAGGGTGTGGAATCAAACTGGGACTACTACTCAAGGGTCTGCTGGTGTCTGGGTAAGCTGGGTAAACAAGGCCAAGGGGTGTTGTAGTGGGCCCTCTAGAGTTTGGGGAGCCCACTTAATTGGGTATTTAAAAAATAACCCTGTGACAGATGGCTTCACAATGAATATGGCCTGAATTTGGGAGAGGTAGTGCTGGGAACTTTACAAAGCAGTACCAACAACCAACATGGTTGCTAGACACTATGTTCATTTCAGCCTGCCTTGAACCCCGGATCCAATTCCTATATCTAGGAACTGTTTCATTCAATATATTGACCTTAGGTGTTTAATTAACCTTATTAATCACCACTGCTTTTCTTCCTTGATCTTCTGTTTGTACAATATATTTTTAGTTTTAGACTCATAGGCTTGAATAACAATTGATCTTGTCTATTTGACAATTTTCTTTTTCCTTTTCCTGCTGTTGAAATGTAGGAAGAACACAACCTGCTAGCTAATTAGCTCCATTGTTGAATTACTCTTATAAGAAAGGTTTTTCTAGCATTTTTTTAAAAAAATGCACTGTTCCGAAATGTAAATCTATTATTCTGTGCTTTGCCCTTTGAAACGATAGTGAACAGGTTTTGATGCTGACTTCCTTTAAGCTATTTGAACAGTGTTATCATTTTCTGCCTTTTTCTTGCCTTCCTTTTCAAAGTCAACATGCTTAGTTCTTCCAATCACTCTAAGATTTCATTTTTAGTTCTATAATCATACCTTTTTTTTCTTCTCCAGATTGTCTGAATATTATTTAAAGTGGACTAAAGTCTTCAAAACATCCTACGTAAACCAAAAGTCCCAGCATCCCTGGAAGAAATAACAGTGTAAGGACTAACAGTCACTATATAGGGCAAGCAGGCAGAAGACTAGCAGAGCACATCCATGAATACCAACCAGCAGTTAGAAGACATGATGGAAATGCTTTAATTTCACAAGACATAGGCAGACACTATCAGCATCCTAGACCACGCCAAGTCCAAATATGCTAGAGAATTCCTGGAAGCATGGCATGCAGATAAATTAGTCATCAACAGGCACATAGAGATAAGCAAAATCTACATATAATTTAAAAATGACAATAAAAAAGCCAAAAAGGAAACAAAAAGACCCAAACACGTCCTCACCAGTAATCAACAACCAGATGAATAGAAAATAGAACCAAGATTAATATTAAACCAACTATCAAGAATCAAACAATGCCTCAATCATGGAAATACCAACTTAGACAAGTTAATAGTAAACAACAACTTAAACAAAAGAATCACCAAAAACACTCCCACCAACACTGACAGGACAAGCCTCTAGTACAGAGTTCCCCAATCTTTCTGGCTTTGTGGACTGGCGAGGAGGGAGGGGATGGTTCCATGTGAGCAGTGGGCAGCTCCATTTGTGCAAGCGGTGGGCACATATGCCTGTCAACCATACAAATGGAGCACGTGCATGCACGTGCACTTGCTGCTTGCGTGAGTGAGGATGCATGCACGAGCTTATGTGCCACTTCCATGGTCCAGTTCCAAAAGGCTCAAGACCAGATAGTGGGCCTCAGCCTGGGGATTGGGGACCTCTGCATTAGTATATAAAATGAGAACAAACCTCATTCCTTACCAAAAATGATTATGTTACCTAGTTTGGTAATGAAATATCTGCACGAAAACAACCAAACTCAGAGCACCTTGAGCTACAAATATTCTATCTGGTAGATACATCTAAGCAAGCTCCTTATTGTTCCTCATCTATAGACAGAAATCTTGCCAAACTAAAGCAACTACTTGCATCATTAAAGACATACTCATTTCTTGGAAGGCACTATTTTAACCCTCTTTTTCCCAACCAAACTATCAAAACTTCACTCTTTAAAATAACATATAAGAACAAAGTGTCCAGATAGCAAAATAGTACAAAATAAAACATGCATTAAAATGAATTAAAAATAAGAAAGAAAAGAGAGTGGAAATTCAGTAAAATAACTGAAGTTAATAAATTACAAACTTTATAGTGAGTATACAAATTTAAATTAAATGCACAAGTCACAAAAATTAGAGAGTGAGTTATGTAAACTTCTGCCTTTTCCAAGTGTGACATTATGGAAATATTAATGCTTTTAAACTAAGCAACCTGAATTAAAAATATTCTTTTGTTAGCATTTTATTTTTGCCCAGACACTTCATGAAATATTTATGTGGCTTTGTAAAATGCACAGGATTTCTGGCTCCAGAAAAAGAATAAGAAGTCTGTTCTGACTGAATACAGTAATAGCAGACTGGGGTGTAGAATTTCTGTTTATACCACCCAAACTATTTGGAATTTGATTTCTATTTTAGAACACATAGAGGCTTGCTTTAAATATTATATAGAGGTTTGAAAAGAGTTTCAATGTTTGCTCAGGCATGTACTAAAGAGTCAAAATAACTGGCAATTGCAATTTTTCCTTAAACTGTTGAGAAACGTCAGGAAAAGTACCTGTTCTTGTTTACTTAGGCATCTCTTCCTTTCATGTTGTTGTTTATAGTGGCTAATAAAACATTTGTTTCACTGCTAGCAAATCCGCTTCATACAAATATTACTGGAGTCTTGAAAAAATATATTGAAAGGTATATAGGGTAAAGTCAGATGCTTTTTATGAGCATATTTGCCAGTAACTAATATCAGATACTTGCGTCTTTATTGTGATCTGAAACTAAAATGATAAATTCTTCCCTTTGTTACTTTTAAGTCAATCAAAATAATAAACAACTTATTTAGTTCTTTCAGTTTGGAAATTGGTGGACAATTGTGTTGTCATTAACATTTGGAGACCATAAACACTATGGAGATATTAAACACAATTTTGGAACGGATTCTGTTTTTTTTTAAATATCCCATCTTTTTTTTCCTGAAAACTTTAAAACTTGCTATTTTCTCTATAAAACAAAATGATTTGCTACACAGTTAGATTTTATCACTGGCTACTGGTCTTTTTTATAGTTTGGGAAAAAAATACTGTTCAAAACGTTAAGTCAGCATGAAGACAATTCAGCTAGCTTGACACGCTATTATATTTCTAATATAATATGCCTTTCTTTTTAAATTAAAAAAATATCTCTCTGTCTCTCTCTCTCTCTCTCTCTCTCTCTCTCTCACACACACACACACACAGAGATGCAGGTGGTCAGGAATGAACAGAGAAAGTGAGACACTCCTGCATTATTAAAGGAATGGCAGTAGAACAATACATTTGCAGTCTTCATCTTCTGATGGTGCAGCAATATTGTCACTGTAGTTTCAGTGCCTAAGAGATGTTTTCTAAACATAACGGCATACATTCTTTATATCAGGGGTGTCAAACTGCCGGATGTGCCATGGCAAAACTGCACCCACCCCATTGCCAGCAATGGAAAAAAAGTTGCGATATGTCATGACATGTCACATGACATTGCGAGTTTGACGCCCCTACTTTATATGAACTGCATTGGCAGATACCAAAGTCAGATACTGTGTTAAATCATTCTAGTCTGTGTCTTCCAGCTGTGCAGCATCACAAAACATCACTGTTCTTTTGCAGTATAAGGGTCCAGTAAACTATTGCTATTTTTTAAGATAAATTTTATTTATTGAAAGAATTTATACACTTTTCTATCTCATTATTGAGCATCTGAGTAGCTAACAATGAATTTTTTAAAAAACAAATCATTCAGAATAATTTCAAAGAAATTAAAACAGCCATCAATATACCGTAAATGCCGGCGTATAAGACGACTTCCACAAGCGCTGAAATTGGCGCCAAAGACGGGGTCGTCTTATACGCCGAGTCGTCTTATACGCCGGAAATACTGGTAGTTTCCGGCGTATAAGATGACGTTCTAGGAATGCAGCCCGGCTATAAAGACGGGGGTCGTCTTATACGCCGGGTCACCTAATACGCCGGCATATACGGTACCATGTTCTGAAGGTTCAAATAAATAGATGGTAAACATAAAATCCAGGAAAATAACCAGTGGGGCTAACAATGGAGAAGACAGAAATCAAATTTATCTCTACTCTATAATAGGGTTTGTTGAGACAAATGCGGGAAATGTCTTCTTTAAGTATAACTACACATATTGGTTTAGACTGGATTCGCACATTTTTGATTGACTGTTGGGCATATTTGAAATTATGAGGACATGCTTATTTATATATTAGTTTTTTTTAAATCCTACCCATAATACTTTATAAGTAACTCAAGGTGGCAATATACCTAACACCTCTTTCTCATCCTAATTTTCTCCACAATAACAACCGTGTGAAGTGGGTTGAGCTGAGAGAGAGAGAGCGACTGGCCCAAAGTCACTCAGCCGGCCTATATGTGTGGTCACAAAAATCACTAACGTGAAGACTTGTTTGTTTGCCAAAAGGCTGCCAAATTGGACAGAGCCAATGATAAAACATCCGTTTTTCAAAAGGGAGATGCATGCATGTACATACTCATTGAAAACTCAAACATAGCCAATTGGATCATAACTTTCCAGAAATTAAAATGGTATTCCAATTATTTTTACTTTTGGAAAGATATTATTAATCTCTGTATTTATCTGGAAATCATTATAGTATAGAAACATTGTAATATTATAGTTTCTTGGGAAAATTAGGGGATAACAAGAAATATAAGCTGGATATACTTAGTGGACATATAAAAGAGCTAAAAAATTGGATTCAAATATATATATTGATAAAGAGAATTTTAAGGATTAATATTCAACTGAATATGGGATTGATGGATAAACAGAAAAAAGCCATGCAAGACTATTTCAATATAAGATTACTGCTATATTATTATATATACAAAGAGGGAAGGATTTGGCATCACCCACAATAGTAGAATGGTTGATGAAATTGACAAAACTTGCTGAGATAGACAAACGTCTTTGATTAAAGAAAGGACAATATCTACATTTATCGGTGATTGGAAATCCCTTATAGACTTTTGCATAAAAAATGAAAAAATAAACTTGTGATTTATGATTTTGATGATTAGATAGAATGGATTATGGAAAGAAGAGAAGCAGAGGGAAGAAGAGGGAATTAAGCTATTTTCCAAAGCGCCTGAAGGCAGGACAAGAAGCAACGGGTGGAAACTAATCAAGGAGAGAAGCAACCTAGAACTAAGGAGAAACCTCCTGACAGTGAGAACAATTAATCAGTGGAACAGCTTGCCTCCAGAAGCAGTAAATGCTCCAACACTGGAAATTTTTAAGAAGAGACTGGACAGCCATTTGTCCGAAATGGTGTAGGGTTTCCTGCCCGAGCAGGGGGTTGGACTAGATGACCTCCAAGGTCCCTTCCAACTTTACTACTATTATTATTATTATTATCATGTAACTTGAGAAGTAAAATATTGAAAGCTATTTCATATTGTTATATCTTTCTTTTTTCCTATTCTCTTCTAATTTTTTTTAATTGCACTTTTAGCTTTTTTGTTATTTCTCTGTTTCCTTCTCACTGTTCTATTTTAGAACTTTCAAGCTATTGGGTATCAATAAATACCTTTAGATTGCTAAGGGCATGTGTGCTTCTGTGTGCAGCATACAAATATAGTATTTTTTTTTTACCTAATCTCTTTGGAGGAATGCAAGTAGAGATATAGCTGGAGCTGGTCATAGAGAAGAGAGTTTCATAGATTTAACAAAATTTTATTTGCTTTTACGGGTGTTTCTGGGTTATTATTTTGAGATTGGTCCCTTAGCTTGCGACTAGATAGTTCAGTTTTCTCAAATGGTTTCGTGACATACATTAGGTCATTTTCAATGACAAACTGTGCTATTGCTCCAGTGTTGGCATTATTCAACTGATCTCAGAATGCTGGGGTCAGAGATAGTTCAGAGCATCCTAAGTGCTGAGTGGAGGGCAATGGGAAGTCCATTCAGATGTCTGATTATTACAAAAACATTTCTGGAAATCAAAGAGATCTATTCTGTGTCCTGTTGTTTTGGAGTTCAAAAGAACTAGATCAGATCTCAAAGCTGCAAAGCGAGAACTGTATAAGACATAATATAAAGTGTTTTTGTTTTGTTTTGTATGAAGGATATTTTCCTACATTAAAAACAGAATATTTGAAATACACAAATTAAGTATATAGGAGAAGGGTTTGCATGTGTATGTCTCTTTTAACCCATGTAGTTAACACCCAAAGCTGAAATTGCTCTTAGCAAGACTTAGAATTTGGAACCCATTTCTGTTCAGTTGCTCAGTCACCTCAAAGCATCTGCTAAAAATAACACTGTAATGTTTATTTTATTCTTGGATCTTCTTAGCTTATTATTTCATTTCTGACCAATAGGTCTCTTCTTGCCATTCTCTCCAGGTGCTCCCTCTTTCTTTCCCCCAAAATGATGTCTTTATTTAGGGCCAAACTATACAATATTCACTTCTAAGGTTTTATCTGAATCCAGTGTAAATAGTTTGATTGAGTGGGACCACAACACAGAAGGGGAGGGAAAAATCATTTAAACAATGACAATGGATTTTTCTTTTTTTAAAAAAGCCTTTCCATTGCATGCAAGTATGCAATTTTCTAAACTAAGGGAGGGCAGGAAGATTGGGCTACTCTCTTTATCCCCTACATGCTGCCATCTTGATGCACTGTGCACTTAGTCCAGAGTAAATAAAGATGGAGGTGGAATGATACAAAATCCATATGATGTATCTGTCAACACTGAAACAATCCTGGATGAAGCCATTTTGTTTCATTTTCAGTTGCCACAGGACTGTGAGGGGGGATGGGTGATTTAAATGTTAGCCTAAACAATATTCTGTCCCATGAGAACCAAGGTCATCGCTGTCTGGGAATTTGGCAGGCTGAGCTTTCCGTTAGAAAGCCCGCCAAAGTTTTCTTTTGGAGAATGTAGTTGATTACATAGTACTGGGGTAGGAAGTTTAGCTTTGTAACATTGTAACACTTTGGAGGAACTCCAGACTTGGTTTCACTTTTGATTGTGCTGACCCTCAGAGAGAATTGGCAGTCGGATGCTGCCCTGCAATGAAGGAGCAGCTTTAAAGCTACTGAGGCTGAATTACCATTGATATCATTCTATGGCTCTCATTCACCTGTGCTGAGAAAGGCGAAACAGCTGGCTGGGTGGGATGAGTCAGGGGAATGGAGATACCTGATTGCCATCCACAGCTACTCCATTCAAGAGGCTGAAGGAGAAGTTGACCAATTCAAGATGGGGGAAGTAGAGCCAATTGCCCGCCATGTGATTTTCAGTGGATGAGGCAACAGACACTCCCCATCCCTTCCACCTCCTCAGTGAAGTCCAAGTCCCATTGCGATGGCTCATGCAGTGTCCCCACTGCCTAGACTAGCCTTGACATCAAGTCCAGTGCGTTGGCGGAGCCCTGACTGAGATCGCCGTCCTGCCAGCCCAGGGGCCCAGCCAAGGGATTTCCAGGGATGGGCCCTTCCACGACCCCAGTGCCAATGGCCAGGTATACAAGCTTACTGGGGGCAACGGCCTGTGTACCCACCCCACGCTTGATGGGGACCCCGAGAAGCTGCCCTTCTTCCTGAATCAAATGTGGGCTCATCTGAATCGTTATGCTAATGCTTACCCAGACCATGCTGGAATGGTTGATGCTGTAGCAGCGAACCTAGAAGGGAAAGCTGCCAAATGGGTGACTGGCCTACACAATGAGCAGGCACCAGAATTGTGGGACATCAATCTGTTCATGGGCGAGCTGAGAGCCATATTTGAAGACGAATCCCAAGCCCTGCAAGCTGAAAAGGACATCCATAACTTGAAACAGGGGAAGGCCAGCAAAATAATATATAAGAGAATTTTGGAAGGTGGCTGGACGGATCAGGCAGTGGATTAGGAATTAGCCTGAGCTAATTCACCACTTCAAGGCAGGCTTAGACCATGAGTTATTCCATGTGTGCAGCTCAGTGAATGGTACCACCTGGACATCAAGCTGGACCATTACCAGAGACCTACAGCATCAGAGTCCAGACCAAGGCAGACTCAAGAAAGACACCAGGTGGCCAGACGTTCCCAACCTACTGCAGCCTCTGGTTTTCCTCAAGCACCTATAGGACCCCTGATCAGGTGTGGGTAACTTGGACATTGAGCAGCTGATTGTCCAGTCCCATTTCCTCAAGCTAAGAGCACATCTGCTACCTCTGCAAAGCCCATGAGGAGACCTCATGCAGTGTGAGAGAAATCAAATAGGGCTAGCCAGGAGCAAGCTGCGTGGGTCACTTCTCTCCCCCAGGGAAAACAGGAAACCCTGGCTGAGCGCTTGCCTGCACCTACAACGATGAGGGAGAAGACCCTATGGTGAGTCAATCTGTCCCACCTTTTGCCATCTCTGCAAAACTTTTAGTCCCTAAAACAGGTGCCCAAATAGATTTGCATTTTTAATTGACTCAGGCTGTACTAATCAACCTCCCCACTGTACTTAAGCTAGGCATTCATGCCAAATTATTGCCCATAGCCATGAAGTTTGAACAGGCAAATGGATCTCTTATAGGGGAGCTCCTGCCACTCACCTAACCAAACCAGAGTGCCTGAAAATGGGGGAGCATTGGAAAATCATCTACTTTGAAGTGGTCCCAAAAATGACTGAGATAGTAATTTTGGGCTTGGCCTGGCTTGATAAATTGTGCCCTATGATCTGGTGGGAAAATGGAGTGAGAACTTTGAGATTAGTGACAGGGCCCTTGCCTCCTATTCGGGCCAATGAAACACATGGGGCTAC